TTATTTATATAACTATGTGAAAATAAACATCAACTTACACGCGTTTATCTATTACTAGCTTAATTGCTCACACAAACTTTCATCCCCATTTTCACCGCCTTAAGGGATGATTTTCGGGATAAAAATGGGTATCTTATGTCCTTCCCAGGGTCTCAAACTATCTTCTTACCAAATTTCATCTAAAACGGTTCAGTAGATCTAGAGATTACCCCCCCAAAAACGTCACAATCTCACAAACTTTACCTCTTTATAATATTTGTATAGATTACACAGTTTATTAATAACAGTAAAACGTGCCATCTATATTTTAGTAACATAAGATTATTTATAATACGATATCCATATTATTTATTATATAAATAAATTATTTATATAGTTCTATCTATAAAAGGTTAAAATTGTACCTCCTGATAGCAACCCTTATACTTTGCAATTATTATTCCGGTCAGCGCTATGTAAAAACGGCGCGTGATCAAAATCTCATATCCAAAGGCTTTGGTAAATATAAATATGGGAAAGTGAACGTGTAGATATCATATACTTATAAATATAATATTTGCATATAAAATTATTAGACTAAGTAATTTTATTAGGTAAGTGGTATATTATGTTTTGAGATAAACCATAGAGATGACAGTATACTTGGATGTTCTATGTCTATAGGAAATATTCATAAAATATATTTATAACTAGCGACTCACCCTCGCTCCGCTTGGTTTCGTCCCTAGTTGCATTTTAAGGTTTGTTATAGTTTTTTCAGAGATGAGATATTTTCCCGCAGTAAAAGGTATAATAAATGTTGACCCGGATAATAAGCTATTATCGTACCAAATTTCATCAAAATCTGTCTAGTAGTTTTTTTGTAATGTGTTCCCAGACACTCAAACAAAAGTTCTAAAAACTTATAAATATATTCGGCCTTTGTATTGATAATAATAACTATTTCAAAAAAAAAATGTACAGAGGCCGAATCTATAGTTTTTAGAACTTTTGTCTGTCTGTGTCTGTTCCCGCATCACAGAAAAACCACTGGAGGGATTTTGATGAAATTTGGTATGGTGATAGCTGGTTATCCGGGTCAACATAAAGGATACTTTTTACCGTGGGAAAATTTTTCATTTCTCTGAGAAAAAATACAAAAACTGTAATGCTTGTTGCATGGGGCAATGCTTGTCATATATAAAGTGCTACTAAAAAAAGATGTCTCCAAAAAGAGAAACACTTTGAAGTTTGAACTTAATATGCTCTTCCATCTCCCTATTCCCATCTGTTAGAGCCGCTTAGATATTAAGATGTACGGTTTCAAAACTATTTTCATTACTATTAAAATGAGATCGCATTAAACGCTATATAATAAATTAAATTCAATTAACCATTGTTACTTCGGTTAAATTGTTATATAGTTTGCTTAAAAAGTAGTTTTCGACAATATATTTATATGGAAAAAGCTTAACTTTTGTGTATATTATACAACTAGCGACTCTTGGTTTGCTTGGGCTTAACCCCTATTTTCACACCCTTAAGGGATGATTTATCGATAAAAACTACCCTATATTCTTCCCAGTGTGTTAAACTATCTTTTTACCAAATGTCATCAAAATCAGTTTAGTAGTTTCGGAGCCTATTGGATACAAACAAATAAAACTTTTTCCTCTTTATAATATTAGAGTAGAAGAATAGAAGACAGTGCTACCTTTTGAAAAATAGAACTTATTACTAAAAGTAGGCTGTATTACTGTAGGTCATAGTCCATCTGAATACTAAATTTTATCTAAATCCGTCCAGCGGTTTCATTGTAAAGGACTAAAAAACAATCTCGTACATATACGCATAATGTCACATCTTAATGGTAGTATAAAGCTGATCAAATTGGTAAATGAAAATGGCTGACTTTATATAAGGAACAGAATACTAATAATATAAATGTGAAAGTAACTCTTTCTGTTATCGTATCACGCTTACATCATTCAATCCAATTTTCTTGTTAATGTTGAGCACATACTCTGTTTGTAACCTAACTTACAGTGCCAGCGGTCGTGAGTTCGGTCCCGCTGGAGGCATTCATTTGTGTAATGAATAAGAATATTTGTACCCCAGTCATGGGTGTTTATATATATAATATGCATATATTTAAAGTTATATATGTATCAACTATCTGGTATCCATAACACAAGCCTCGTAGCTAACCATGGAACTAGATAGTGCTGTGTGTTAATGTCCCAACATATTTATTTATTTTCACTCTTCCAGAATAGGACAACATCGTATATAAGCAATAAATAATAAGTTACTGATAGTACATCATTAAGACTATTTACAAAGCTTTAGTCGAAAATAATAACCCCTAGCTAATCTCTCCTGGGTGCCCGCCAAGCTCTTAGCTTTCGAGTATAGCGAGCTAGTTTATCTGGAGTACTAGAATAAACGATTCATTTTTGTCTTAGAGATATTCCATGTTTATCTTAAATCTATATAAATAAATAAAATTGATGTGTATCTTTGTAATGTCAAAAGAATAGTGTTTTTTAAATCCATATAAAAGTATATACGGTACTTATAAGAAAACTAGCGACTCACCCTCGCTTCGCTCGGGTTCGTCCCTACTTCCGTTTTAGTATAGATTTCTCGGAGATGAGATAATTTTCCCGCAGTAAAAAGTATCTTATATGTTGACTCAGATAACCAGCTATCATCATACCAAACTTCATCAAAATCCCTTTAGTGGTTTTTCCGTAATGCAGTAACAGACAGACAGTTAAAAATTCTAAAAAGTTTAGATTCGGCCTCTGTATCGATAATAATGTCTATTTCAATAACATTGCCCAAAAAACATCTAATGTGCAGATTCCGCTTAGGTATTATTTTATTATACGCGTATGTATAAAAAATCAATTTTAAATAAAACTATCTTTTCGGATTATTTCGTGGATTTATTTTGATTTTTGGTTCCCGACGTTTCGAATGCTTTACAGCAATCATGGTCACGGGAGAGACTAAGGTTTTAGACGTCCCAAAGTTAATAGTTTGTAAAAAAAGTTTGTTACTTAGAAATAAAAATCTGAAATAGCTAGTATTAGAAGTAGCAAGTTAATAAAAAAACATCTTCGTATAGTTAATTCTGAAAGAAAAGAAAGAGAAAGAGCATACTATGGTTAGCTATAAGGTAAATAATAATAGTTAATCTGCTTTGGGACTCCGCCAAGTAGTGAGTAATGCAGCCTGGCTGCTTTCCTACAGTTGTATGCACTAGGCTCTATCTCAAGCACTAGATTGTGTAGCGTAACAACGATTAGAATATTTTCTACAGACTTCAAAAAATACTTAATTTGAGTATATTTTTGTGTGTATGTTTGTGTCTTTCAATCATTTTCAACATGATTGCCACTTATAAAATATTGTGAAGATACTTGTATGTTTGAAAAATATGTAAGAACATGTAAAGTCCACCAATCTACATTTGAACAGTGTATTGGACTAAGACCTGATCTACCTTAAATTGAGAGAAGGTCTATACTCAAAAGTAGGATATATTGTTATATCTATACTAATAAATGGAGAGCCGATTTTTTTGTTCGATTATACTGCGATAACTACTGAACCGATCGGAATAATACTCATACCATAAGATGCAGCGTGTTTCGGAGAAGGTTTTACTATATGATATTAATGTACTATGCGAGCGGAGCCGCAGGAAAACGCTAGTATCCTAATAAATGCATGCGTCTTCATATTAGATTACGTTTTATCTAGTTTACACGATCTATTGAGTCGAATAAATTTGACTATCAGACCTTAAATTTCAATTAATATTGACTGCATTCAAATCTATCGCTCATTTTCTCTAATTGCAAGCTCTATAAGAGCAGCGAAAATATTTGTAAAGCTTTTAATTAAAATTTCATTTGTATTATTTATAGGCGTTTGCTACGAGTAAGTTTTGACTGCCAGCTGTATTGATCAGAAAATGAAAATAGTCTATTTGAATTTAAATATATGTACTTACTAATGAAATGATTTCGTATTGCTTTTGGTTATTTTATATTTCTAGAGGAATATTAGTACAGTGTTTAGGAACATGCCTTACTTATGACTTATTTTCGCTTCGCTCGAGAACTCCTTTAGGTTCCTCTGATCGAACTCGCTTCGCTTTACGACTTGATTAGAAAACATCGAATTATTCCACTTTGTATAAAAATAATATACTAAAGTAACACACTGTAACTGAAGACAAAGTGTCTCCAGCAACAAAAGCATAGAAAACTTACGATAGTGTTCAACCCTCTTTATTCTTCGCTGTCGCAAATTCCATTCGTAGCTAACGTCACTTACCGACTTACAAATTTTCAGTTTAATAGATCAAATGTCTTCAAGATTTCGTGTTTAACTGGGTGATCTTTCGTTTCTATAATTAATACATCTATACATATAATAAAATTTTAACTAATCCGAAACTGTACATTAAATATTTTTTGGACAATCTTATTGAAATAATCATTATTATCGATACAGAGGCCGAATCTACAGTTATTAGAATTTTTGTCTGTCTGTCTGTCTGTCTGTCTGTTACCGCATCACAAGAAAACCACTGGACAGATTTTGATGAAATTTGGTATGGTGATAGCTGGTTATCCGGGTCAACATATAGGATACTTTTTATCGCGCGAAAATTTTTCATTTCTCTGAGAAAAATACAAAAACTGCATTGTAAGAGTATACTAATATGTATAACCTAAGAATTTAGTTTTTGGTCATCTGAACGCGGGCGGAGCTGCAGGCAATGATAGTTTTATAAAAGTATAGATATAGACTTTAAAATATTAAATAAATTATTCATTATCTTATTCATATAATGATTATGTGTTTTATTTTGATCAACTAAAATTAATGAATTGTACAAAATTTTGTATACCCAAAAAGTTAGTAAAAGATACTAGTATCAAATAGTTAAAAAAGTAGATATTGTATAGAAAATTACTTATTTATAATATATTCTTATATAGGAGAGAGGTGGGTGGTCACAGTGGAGTGAGTGGTCACTGTGCTCCAGGACGTGTGATGGCGGCGTGTCACGACAGCTCAGGACATGTTCCTCACCTGCCGGCTGCAGAGGAGAGCCAGTTCGCTACAAAATATGTAACATGCAGGTACTAATACTACGAATTTTTAAATTTACTAGCTATTATTCATACTTACAAACTTAGAAAATTTTATTCTACAATAATTGAAGAATAAAAATAACCTATATTTTTTTCGGGATTCGAGATGCCAAAACAATATTGCTATATCTATAATATTATAAAGAGATAAAGTTTATGAGTTTGTGATTTTGTAACGTTGTAGGGGGTAATCTCTGAATTTACTAAACCGATTTAGTTGAAATTTAGTAAGAAGATAATTTGAGGCCCTGGAAAGGACATAGGATACTTTTTATCCCGGACATCGATTTTTGTTGTATTTAATTAACAATTAAATTTATTTATTGCTCGAAAAATGGAGTATTTTATATAAATTTAGTGACACACTGACTGCAGCGCCGCCTACTGGGCCCATTTGTGTTTTCAAACCATTCAGGAGCCCGTAGAAATATATACACAAAATTTCATCCAAATCAGTCCAGTCCTTTAGGAGGAGTAGTTTAACAAACACACGTACAGAAGAATTATATATATATTAAAATATACATACAAATAATAAATAAAATATTAGACGTCATCTTTTCAACACGTTTGCAATTAACAAAACTAAACAAGAAAACTTATTTGCTATCAACGAAACCCAATTTCACTGCCAAAGAACACTAACTGGGTGGTTTGAACCTATAAAAGTTTGATTTATACCAACACTTACTGTTACCTGAAATTAGTTCGGAGATCGTAAATTTTTGTGGAAAATCCGAAAACACGTTTTCTTTTCGCTAATGACATATTTATTTTCTAATAGCTTTTCCATTTTGAAATATTCGATGGGTTTTTAGTTTGCCTGCGGGATGGTTAGAGAAAACAGTGTCTGAGAAGATATTTTTACGAACTATAGCTAACGCTTATATGATCACACTAGCTTTTATAGCTATTTATTCAATTAGTAAGAAAGTATTAAAATTCCATCTTTAATAATGGAATATTTCAGCCAATTATTTAAGTATGTTACAAAAGGTCTCGAAGTTGCGTAACTTTTTTAATTGAAAAATATTTTTGACCATTTTAAAATATTATCTACTAGCGACTCACCCTCGATTCGCTCGGGATCGTCCCTAGCTTGATTACTCATGCAAACTTTCATCTCCATTTTCACTCTTTGAAGGGGTGGTTTCCGGGATAACAAGTATCCTATGTTCTTTCCAGGGTCTTAAACTATCTTATTACCAAATTTTATCTAAATCGATTCAGTAGATTCAGAGATTACCCGCTACAACGTCACAAACTCACAAACTTTACCTCTATAATATTAATGTAGATTTTATTTACTATTACATATCTTTATATATATAATTCTTCTGTGAGTGTGTATGTCACTGAACTTCTCTCAAACGACTGGACCGATTTTGATGAAATTTTTTGTGTGTGTTCAAGGGGATCTGGGAATGGTTTAGATTCACAATTTGAATAATAATTTTCATCAAAAAAATTATTAAAAAAAGTTTGAAATTTTCAAATTAAAGATGTGTAGACAGGACAACGTCTGTCGGGTCCGCTAGTTTCATATAATTAATTAGTAAGAGTTTTCCACAAGAAATATAAGCACCTGGACGGTACAATGACGCCTTAAAACCTTTACAAGTACGAGTATCTCACTGTCTAGACTTTATTGCTCTTGAAAATTTAACTTCTAAGGATTGTTAGCGCTGTTATGATTTTATAATTAACTAGCGACTGACCCTTGCTTCGCTCGGGTTCTTCCCCATTTACGTTTTAAATTTTAGTATAGATTTCTCAGAGATGAGATATTTTATTGCAGTAAAAAGTATTTTATTTATTGACCCGGAGAACCAGCTTCCATCATACCAAATTTCATCAAAATCCCTCTAGTGGTTTTTCCGTTATGCGGTAACAGACAGACAAAAATTCTAAAAACTATATATTCGGCCTCTGTATCTATAATAATGTCTATTTTAATAAGATTTTCCAAAAAATATTGAATTTACAGATTCGGCTTAGTTAGAATTTTATTATATGTATAGACTAGCGACTGACCCTCGGTTCGCTTGGATGCGTGCCTAGGTAGGCGAATTTTCTGTACAAATGGGTTTTAATTTTGTTGCGCGGAGCCCCTATTTCTTTTTCTAAAATAAAAGTAACCTAAGTTACTCCTTACATCAACTATATTCCATTGAAAGTCCTGTCAAAATCGATCTAGCCGTTTCGGAAATTCGGAACAAACAAACAGACAGACAGACCGAAAAAATATGTAGTTTTTCTTATAAGTACCGTATATACTTTTATATCATGTATTTAGTAAAAAGCTGTTATTTTGACATTTTATGCAGACACTTCAATCTTATTTATTTGTATAGATATTGTTTTACTAGCGACCCACACTGGGCTTGTTCAGATCGTGCAAATATACATAAAGAATTGGTTAAACCTAATTTTTACCCAACTACGGTGAAGTCAAAAAGATGGTTATGATTTCAGAATACTACGTATGTATGTTCGTCTATTCCCGCATTTATCTTTATATATTTTGACTTGTTATCCGCTAGTTATATGACGCGCGGTATATGACATCTTACTAAGTTTCATATAGCGCCCTCTAGTTATACTATTAAAGTTCAAATTCAAAGACTCATTAACGCTCACCTATTTATTATATTATTATGTAAATTACTAGGTAGGCCATAACGAGTACGAGTATATAGGAGACACGCACAAACAAATATTATTTTATATACATATATATTAGATCAGTGTGTAATGTGTGTATATAATATAAATTTTGAATTTAAATGCAATAATATTTAGTATTTTCCACACAATTTGTACTGAAGTAAATACAAAATTGTCACTTAGACGTCGTTCCTGAGGCGGTACCGTTCAGACTAATGCTACTTAATCCTGCTTCGGGACGCGGCTGTAAGAAGTGGCTTAAGATACCTCGATGATGTATTTTTGTACAAAGCCTACTTGTGTTACGCTCTTATATTATCTTATATACTTATCTCTAAATTATAGAACTTTTCTCATATAAAAATGAAATTTTGTTGCTATATTAGTTCTACAATTTAATATTTTATTTATAAAACTAGCGACTCACCCTCGCTCTGCTCGGGTTCGCCCCTACTTACGTTTTAACGTTTAGTAATATCCTATATTTTGACCCAGATAACCAGCTATCATCACATCAAATTTCATCAAAATCCCTCCTGTGGGTTTTCGGTGATGCAGTCACAGACAGACAGACAGACAAAAATTCTAAAAACTAGTATCGGTCTCTGTATCGATAATAATGTCTAGTTCAAAAAGATTTTCCAAAAAATATTTAATGTACAGATTCGGCTTAGTTACAATTTTATTATATATGTATATAAAAAACTTACCTGAATATTAGTTTTCGCGAATTTGTACCTAGTAAAGTAATGAAAACCAAGCAAATAATTAAAACTTCGTCTAAATTTTGAAACTTTATCACAATATCTAAATTTCATCAAATATCGTGAAGTTATGACACTATAACTTTTAACTTAAAAGTGAGAGCAAAGCTGCTATCGATAGTTGTAAACAATTTTAAAGTAATTCCACCAAAACGAGGTGCAAACTTGGCTCTCGACGCTGAAATACCCTATGATTAATAGTTACGAAGCCGCTAGTGGGCTGTCATTACACCGTTCAGTTATTAAACTTAAAGCTATCCAAAAATTTAATTTATGACGAATAATATAAATAACTAGCTATTATACAATAAATGATTTTATAGAAGATGGCACACCTTGGGAATAAAATGATCGCCTCCAGGCTACTTCAACTTGATAGAAATATTGTAATTTATAATCTTACTTTAAAAAAAAAGATAATTTAATACTGGTCCCGCTGAGTTTCTTTCGCCAGTTCTTCTCAGGTCTGAGGCTTCTTCTTTCCGAACTGGTAGTAGACTCATGACGTTCAGTAAAAAATTATAATAATTTAATGCTGAATAAAATGTTTTGATATTGAATTTGCGACTCACCCTCGCTGCCCTCGGGTTTGTCTCTAGGTACGTTTTAACGGTTAGTATAGATTTCTCAGATATGAGATATTTTCCTGCAGTACCTGTATAGTAAAGTAAGCTAAATGTTGACCAGGATAACCAGCTATCATAATACTAAATTTCATCAAAATCTATCCCGTGCTTTTCTCGTGATACGTTCCCAGATAGACAGAAAGACAAAAATTCTAAAAACTGTAGATTCGGCCTCTGTATCGATAATAATGGCTATATCAATAAGATTTTCAAAAAAATATGTACATATAGATGATACCATATACGTTAAGTATATGGTATGGGGAACGTAGCTAATTAAATATATCTATTTTGTTGTTTGTAACTAGTATAGTTTGATTTTTATATGAAATGCAACTATGTAATATATTCCTAGTCAAGCTCACACACAATGTTGTTTTAAAAGCTGTTTAGGTAGCTCTTTTATATCTGTTTCATCTATACTATAATAAAACAGTAGAGGTCGTATGTCTGTACATAGCAAAAAAATGCTAAAAACCGAGTCAGAGGGATGTAAGAAGACAAATAGAACAAATCCAGATTTTTTTCATTTTTTTTGTTTCTCTGTCTGTTTGTCTGTTTGTACGGGCTAATCTCTGAAACTATTGGACCGATTTAAATGAAATTTTGCATGGTGGTACCTTATATCCCCGGTAAACATTATAGATACTTTTCATCCAAGAAAATTAAAGAGTTCCCGTGGGATAGTTAAAAACTATAGTATGTTATACAGCTTAGTACACAACAACTTATGCACCTAATTTAGTAAAATTTAACATTCTGATAACTTATATTGCCGGACAAACAACAGGTTACTTTTCATCCCGGAAAAATGAACGGTTCCCGTGGGAACTAATAGATCTCTATTAGTGATTTTCTAGAGGCGAACCCGAGCGAAACGAGGGTGAGACGCTAGTTTTAAATAAGAAACTTTGAGATGAGAATGCTGAGA